CTTATCAATGTGGTTAATGTGAACTTTTTTACATACTAAAATATATATTGAGTGGATATATCTGATAGAGTATAAAAATCGACTCTGAACTTCAACTATAAGCTTAAACTTTAATTTTGGTTGAATTTTTCCTCTAACTTGGTATTGGAGATAACATGACACAAATATCACGGGTTCAAATCTCATCCACTCTCCTACTTTCAAGTGGAATATTTCGCGCTGGGTATGAGAGAGCCCATGCCGCATCCATATTTCAAGCCCAAAGGTCTCTCACGTGAGGGGGCATGATGAGTATATAAACCGATTATGTGCTTCAACCATCAACTTGGATTGATTTATATACTCTATCCACACTTCAAGCCCAACGGGCTCTTGTGTGAGGGGTGTAATAGTGTATGAAAAAATAAAAAATTCTTGGACCTCAACCATCAACTTTTATTGAGTTAGTTTTTTAACATGATATCCAGAGACAGCATGACATAAAGGTCACATGTTCAAATCTCATCGACCCTCCACTTTCGAGTGGAATATTTCGTGTTGGGTATAAAGGGAAGAAAAAACAATTTAATTAATAAAGCATTACAAAATACAACATTAAGCTTTTTGACTAAGAAGAAAAGGGATTTCAAATCAAGAATTCCAGCACAAGTACAACATTAAGCTAGACAGGTTACAACATGTAATACCTCCAATTTTGAAAGTTCGACTCACTTATTATACATGTGCTCAAAATAAAATAACTTTGACCGCATTATATGACTTATACACAAGAAATAAATTAGCATGTGGGATCTTATTATATTCCCCTTATTATAAATTTTCCAAATATAACCTTCTAATAATTGTCACTTATACATAGCCGAAAATATTTATGGTCGAAAATGTTCTGGAGACCGCGTAAATGTAAAGTGAGTCGAACTTTTAGAAACAAATGAAATATATAAAGTTTATATGCTCCTCCAAAAACAAAATCATACATAATATGTACTATATACAATACAATACATTCATAAGGGCAAAGTGATTCGGGACATATTCTAACATGTAACAACTACTTCATAAATAATTAGACGATCATCGTTACTATTTTCATTATTGACCGCCCAATAATCAACACCTCTATGAATCCCAATATACTCCGTATCACGTACATCTTCTACCTATATTGCTATAAGTTGTTCGTTTTGGTTGAAAAATGTATAGATATTTTGATCTAAACCTAGAAACTAGTTGAAACCCCTTTGAGTTTGAGTGTATGGTGTGAACTGTGAAGTAGAAAGATAAGTAGTGTTTGCGTTCGTGTAATGTAATTCCATTTATAGGCTACATTTTATTTTACTTTTTTGACTTTCATAATAAAATAAAATCATAAAAATAATTGGAAGAATGAAAACACTTAAAAAGCTTCTAGAAGTCAACAACAGTGCTATTTCAACCTACCAACTTGTTTTATATCCGTTGCTCAGTCTTAACACTTGATTTTTTTTGTTTCCAATTTTACCCCTCTGACCTGGCCTTAATTCTCAGGCCCTCTAGCCAGCGAAACCGTGATCTTTATTCTTTTTAAGACCCTAGTCATCTTTGATTATGATTTAAACTAAATTAAAAAATTAAAATAAAAAAAGTAAAAAAAAAAAAAAAAAAAGAAAAAAGAGTGACCGTGTCTTTCAACTCTATGACATTTCAACTCAAAATTATGGTACTCCGTATATTAAATTAACCGCGTAATTATTATAAAATTTTATACTAATGTTTTATAATTGTATTTTGTTCATATATAGGCATTGCCTTAATTAGTTGACTATACTAGTCTAAATGCATAATTGTATACAAACCTTGGGCTAAGCGTAGTTATATAAGTTACCCGTTGAACGATTATATATATAAATTTTGCACTTTAATGAGTGTTACCTACTACACCAATAAAAAGAGCAATAATATTATTAGTTGGTTAAAAAGAGACAATTTATTGTGTTACACGACAATAAGTATGGTATAGGATCCTGTAAAGTAAAAAAAAAAAAAAAAAAAAAAGGGTATGGTATAGGATTGCATTATTTATCTTAAGCTATTTTCTCATTTACAGAAATTTCATGAAGTTTTCAAGTAGATACTACCTCCGTTTCTTATTATGTATAACAAAGGAGTATTATTTGTGAGGCATAAAATATTTCTTTATTGCACATTATAAGAAACGGAGGTAATATATCAAATTGGCCTAATCGGTGATCGAATAGACTCTCAAATTTATAAAATCTTAATTAATAGTTCATGTCCTTGTATAGTTGTATCTTTCAAAATAAAAAAACAGTTCATGTCCTTGTAGTTATATAGAAGTATATTAAAAGTATTGTACTTGATACATAAATGTATAATTGGATATTTGGATGGTAAGGGATAGTGTTGAACTTGAATGTATATTTGTCATGATTCATGAACTCACATGCAAGTTGTTTCACATCAGAGAAATAGAAAAGTAATTATCAATTTATTAGATTGGATCGAGAACTCTCCTCATACCTGTTTGGGTTATTCATACATGTCCTTTATATTTCTTCTTATAAATTTAATAGGTTGAATGACGTAGTTGAACTTAATGAGACTATATCCTTAATATATATTTTGGTAATAACTGAATAATTATTGCTAGCTTCCACCTTTTCCATAAAAGAAATAATCACATTTGAATATGAAAAGTCAATATGGCATGGTTCACATCTAAAAAGGGTATATGAGGGTCTTATTCATGCATGTAAGACAAATTAAGTACCAATAGTTTATGTGATGGATACTAATAAAATTGGTTCTAGAATTAGAATTTTAAGGGACACTATTATCTATATAAGCCAGACGATACCTTAACTTGACTCTATATCAAAATAGATAAGTTGTCAATTGTTGCCGTCCTTAGCTTGAAATCTGTTTCACAATTCACACTTCATAGAAATGTTAGCTACTCATCACGTTTTTATTGTTACAATGAGAGATATTACAATGTTAAAATGCTTATTTTATATTGGTAATTATCTAGTCTTGCATCAATAATTTGTTATATATACTTACTTTAAATCTAGCTATTTAGGGTGTGTTCCATTTACCTGATTTTTACTTATCAAAATTTATCTGAACTTACCTAAAATTATATGAACTTATTAAATCTTATTAAAACTTATTTTAGTTGTAATTTGAACTTGCATGATTAGCCCATTATCAAAACTTTTTTTTTCTTGAACTAAACTTATAAAACAGGCCTTTAGTTGCCACATCTTAACTCATTGCCATCACATACTTTAGACCAAATGTGCGTATCTCTTGGTTATAATTTGAACTTTGGTATTTCAACATTATATATTGAAAGTAATCAAATACTTCCTTCGCTTCAAAAAAATTGCAACACTTTGTCCAAAAAGTTCTCACAATTCTAGCCAAAGTATTGATTTTTTTTTTTTTTGAAATGGACGAAGAAATACTTTACGTAATAATAACAGGAAAATTTGTTGGAAATAATAGATAATTCAAAATTTGGCTTTTGTGAGAGAACTTTGGAATTATTGATTAATATATATATATATATATATATATATATATATATATATATATAAAGTTTATATGCAAAAAATTGTCTTATATTAATTTAATCTTTACAAGTAGCTGATTGTTCAATAATTTATTAAATTGAATTGTTAAACTTAACCATATCATTAGACATTTAAGTGCCAGCTTGTCATTTGAGATTATCAATAATGATAAAAAAAAAATTTGATGATTATAAAATTTTAATCATCACAACACTCCACTCTAGCTACTGCGGCGCCCAACCATCCAATGTTACATTTTTGCTTCTAGTGTAACAACCAAGAACAAGCTGTCATATAAATAAGTATAACATGCATGTTGTGCTCACTATAGTGTACACTTGTAGTAATTAGCTTAATTAAGCTCTTTCTTTGATTTATTTTTATTGGAAATCTTAAACACGATAAGTTATGAATATAAAATTGAAAATTGGTTGGAAAAAAAAAATACAAAATCGATTGAAGATTAAATAACTGGATTATGACTATTTATAGTTTATGCTTCATGTAAGTACAAAATTCGATCTACATGTTTTCTAAAGTCAATTTGCATATGTATACAATTTAAGCTAATACGGAGTAATACATAATGACAAGTAAACTGAAATTATTTACCTAATATACAATTATATATTATTTTCCCAAACTTATGGTGTGGAACAATGTATATCTTATCCAATGTTAATAAGACTCATCCTATGGCTATACAGTCATACAACGACTTACAATATTCATCTTATAACGATTTTAATGTCTATGTCAATATTCATCTTCTTATACATTATAACGACTTACAAGCTAGTAAGAAGTATAAAGGTAGATACTCTAAAATAGAGTAAATTAAAAACCATAATTTTTAAAACTTGAAGCTACCCCAAGCATTTCTTTAATCTTGATCTCTAAGCAGCTTATATAATTTTTAGTTATGGTAAAAATCAAGCCAAAGTTATCTGATTTCGCAATACATTTCAAATTTAAATTTGATAATTATTCAGGGTTAATAATCTATCATGCCTAAAACGAGCTATATTTGTGATAAATTGACGTCTAATTATGTAGAATTGTAATAATTTGACATCATTGATCCCTACATCAGCCCTACCAAATAAGTTAAAACTTTGTGGGCAAGCAATGCTTGACACTAATAAACGTCAAATAGCAAAATGAGAGCCAAAGTCAAGGAAAGGGTATCTTTGTCATTGTCCCTTTACAACCAAATACATTAGACTTAAGACTTTCCTTATCTCATTATTTTATACATCATAATAGACACTTCCACATATTTCCCTAGATCCAATAAGGAAATTTTCCACAATATTTGTTATATCCTTTTTAAAAATCAACCCGCTATAATATAATATAATATAATACGTAATTAGTTTTTGTTTTAAATATTCCGCGAAAATAATCAATAAAAAAAGAGAAATATTCAAAAGGAGTTGTAAACCTCTATCTAATTGTTTGTATTGTGGAGGGTAGTTGTTGATTTGAATATTAGAGGGCAAGAAATAGGATGTTTCCTCACTTCTCTTTAACTTTTCCTCCTCCCTTTAAAGTCTTGCCTTCCATTTCTCATTTTTCACCATTTCTAAAACACATCCTTCTTAACTTTCTCTCTCCTCTCTTTCTCTCTCTTCATATTTTTACATGACAATTTCAATGCTCAACTAGCTACCTCATCATCATTCATCATAACATATTTATTCAAGATCACTCCATAATCGCCATTTTTATACACAAGGACAATACGCGTAACATAATGACAGTCGATAACAAGATCTCATGGAGAACATTTATGCCATGTTGTGGTACATTTGATGAAAATTCCGTTGATGCTCCTAAACCTAAGAAGAAAATAGCAGCTTCAGATCAACATCAATACTTTCAAAGGAATGGTTTCGGAAATAATTTAAGTGACCCGAATTCGCTTACCTTATCAGAGGATCTATCTATATCTTTAGCTGGGTCTAACATTCATGAGTTAAATCTCAATGAGCTAAGATTGATTACTCAAAATTTCTCCTCCACTAACTTCCTTGGAGAAGGCGGGTTTGGCCCGGTCCATAAAGGGTTCATCGATGATAAAATTAGACCCGGGTTGAAGGCTCAACCCGTCGCAGTTAAAATTCTTGACCTCGATGGTCCCCAAGGCCATCGCGAATGGCTGGTACGAATTTTTTTCTTTTTATTTGTCGAATTTTAATTATTGGGTGGTTCAGGACTACCACGGGTTAATTTTTTATTTTTTTTAACTTGCATGTACAAATATTTGAATAATTTTTGGATTTTTGAACTGGTCAATTAATGTTGGTGGGGAAGGGGGGAATTTTTATTTATTTTTTATTTTTTTATATTTAATTTATTTATTTTCATATAAAATTATTGTAGTTTTTTTGTATTTTAATGAGACAAACTAATAATTAAAATTGTCCTTTTAAAAATAATTGATTACAGGCAGAAGTGAAGGTGCTTGGACAACTAAGACATCCCCACTTGGTAAAGTTGATAGGATATTGCTGTGAAGATGAACACAGAGTTTTAGTTTACGAGTATATGCCTCGTGGTAGTCTTGAAAATCAACTCTTTAGAAGTAAGTTCACCAACTTAATTAGTATTTCATTTAATTTAATTAAGTACTTAATTAATAAACCTTTAAATTTTTTCTATTTTTTTGGTTGGCTAATAACTTTAATTAAATTTCTACCATGATCATGATCATGATCATAACATTTTTATCTTTTTGACACATACTGAGTCTAGAGGATTAGGTGTGCATTAGGTGAATGATATTGACGCCTTATTTACATGATTTCTTGATTTTTGCTTATACCTTATTTGGAAAGGATGGAAAGCAAAAGGAAGCAAATTTGATGGTTGAATTCATGTACATAATCTTTTGATGTCTTCTTGTGGTAGTCCTTAATATTCGCACGTATCTTATCAATGTTACGGTGTACTTATTGTATTTGACTTTTGTACGTCGAATTGCCTATGATTTTTTGGATATGAGGGTAATGAGATAGGTTTGCTCATATATGGCTTTGTAACCATGATTGAAACAAAATTTGTTAAGTAACAATGTAAATAGGAGCATGAGTAAGCTATGTTGAGGAAAGGTTTAAAAGCATTTTATCATCTAAACCTTAAATTCCTTTAGCATTAACGTATGAGAAGCATTGGCATAATTATTTAGTTTCCGCGTCTTTTAACTGCTCAAGATAGTTGTACAAATCACATTAATATGTTGAGCTCTCATAATCTCAAATTACCTACCATTGTAATTGAAAGGTCCTATTTTGTCATGTACTTATTTTTTTTCTAGAAACATTTAGTATGTCATTATTTTATATTGACTTCTACAAACATATTATTATAAGAATGTGTTCATCAAAGAAAACAACCAGAATTCATTAAACTAATATCCAAATTCATCTTATTTACAGGATTTTCTGCTTCACTTCCATGGTTAACAAGACTAAAGATCGCGCTTGGAGCTGCTAAAGGGCTCGCGTTTCTTCATGAAGCAGAGAACCCAGTCATCTACCGCGATTTCAAAGCCTCAAACATCTTATTGGATTCTGTAAGTACACTATGTCCTTGTTAACAAACACCCATCCTCAACATTACAACAAAGTAGCAAAACATACACATAATTCATTAATATATGTTACTAATACATCAAAATTATAATGCAATTCTACAGGATTTTACCCCTAAGTTATCTGATTTCGGCTTGGCGAAAGAAGGTCCTGAGGGAGACGACACCCATGTTTCTACTAGAGTTATGGGCACACAAGGTTATGCTGCTCCTGAATACATCATGACAGGTAATTTTTTCACTTCATAGTACTCCCTCCGTTCTTTTATTAGAGACCCTTTTATAACATTTATTACTCACATAATAAAGAGAAATTAGTCTCTAATAAAAGGACAGTAGAATATTTCAAGCATAATTTATTTATTTATATTTTTTAATTATTGGACAAAAAAATAGTTCAACATTGTGATTTTTAAATTTATATTCCAAACTTTACTTGATAGTATATGCATTTTAGAAAGTTATTTGACAAATCATGTAACTTATACAAAGTATATTCCTCTAACTTGACGGGTATAGATGGATTATCCAAATAAGCAAGATATTAGAAAAATAAAATAACTCGAATTAAACTCTTTTCTTTTCTTTTAAGTGTAACTTGTTCAATATGATAACAAATTTATAATTCCGTTCTCTTCCTAAGGAAGAATTAAATTTAAAAAAAATCCTATGTATATTTCATTAATAGGTAGTCAAGAGACCTCTTTTATTTATAATATAGACATCTCTATGACATAGACGTAGAATATTGACAAACATATCAAAGTGTAAGAACAGTCGAAATTGACTAATGCAAATAAAGCCTTCTAGACATTAGTTGAAATAAAGCCTTTCTAATTAACTTCCAAAGGTATATTAACGAAGTATGTACTAAAGTTATATGTGCTTCATTCATTTTTCAGGTCATTTGACAGCCGCGAGTGATGTATACAGTTTTGGAGTTGTACTCTTGGAACTCCTTACAGGTAGACGATCAATGGACAAGAACCGTCCTCCAAGAGAACAAAACCTAGCCGAGTGGGCTAGACCACAATTGCAAAGCCAACGACGACTTCCACGTCTAATGGACCCAAGATTAGAGGATCAATACTCCGACGATGGGGCCCAAAAGGCTGCACTACTAGCCTACCAATGCCTAAGCCATCGCCCCAAGAGCAGGCCCACAATGAGCGTCGTTGTAAAAACCTTGGAACCCTTGTTAAACCTAGTCCATGATATCCCATCCGGACCCTTCGTTTACACCGCCCCAAGTGACCAAAGTCCCGCCCATGATAAATTGGGAGGTGAAACGAAGAAAGAAAACGGCCACCACCACAACAACCATCAACAACGTCCTCAACGTCGCCACGACATAAACCGTATAAGAGCACCAAAGCCTTCAAGTATAGTGAACTCGGACCCTAATGTACAAAGAAATCTTAGAAATGGGTTTAACTCTCCGGGCCACCATCACATGGGAAGAGGAGCATAGACCATGCAAAAACAAAACAAAAATGTTACTAGTAACATTATTTGCATACACCCAAAAGTGGGGTCAAAAAAAAAAAGAAAAAAAAAAAAGGAAACTTCATATTTGTAAATACAAAGTTTGCAAAAATATCAAGTGTCTAGATAAATAGAATAGGGATACAATATACGTTTGTTTTTTTTTTTTCTACATTCTTTGAATTATGAGGGTTTTTTTATTGATTAGTTCATATTGTCAAAATTATATATACATATTTTTTGGAATTGTTACAAAGTTGTATCAAATTATTATTATAATGAAGATTAGAAGAATATATTATGATACTTCAAGTTGCCTTCTTATATTATAATTTCATGTCCTTTTCATTTTATATATTGACATGATTGATGAGCTAATTTAAGAGATGAAGTGCCCTTTAAAATATGTTCAATATGCTGACATGAAAATCAAAGCCGAATGGTTACATATTTTAATTAATTGATTTACTAATTTATACTAATCTTCCTTTAGTCTTAAATTATTTTTTAAGATGAGATTAATTTGTAATGTTAGTGGTGTCCAATATCATTATCTGTATCATGTCTTTATTTAATTACTACATAGTTTTATGTGTCTCCTAGTGACTTTTAACAAATCAAAATCTTGCATGTCAATTGGCATACTCATTACTTGGACTAAAAAATTTAAATTTATTAAAAACAAATAAAAAAGCTAAGTAAAACTTTTCACTATTAATTTTACCTACTTTCGACTTTTGGATAGGGGAGTTAAACAGCATGTTTCCCTTGTTTTTTAATTGAGCATATTAATTTTTTTTTTTTTTTTGTCATTTATCGTAATGTTGCACAATTGCATATGTGAGTGTCGGTATATTTATTTAGGCTCTTATTGAGACACTAAATAAGTATTTTGTCGGTGTGTCAATATGCTATACACTAATCTTAGCTTGTTGCCTATTTTGTTTAACTTTCATAAATTTTCCATGCATCGCATATCATTCACTATGAACCGATGAGCCTTTGCACTCACTAAAGTGTACTTCATTCAAGTGAGATAAAAAAAAGGTGCGTGAAAAAAAAAAAAAAAAAAAAAAAAAAAACCTTGAATGAAAATGAGCAAAATTTGAAAGAAAACAGAAATAGCATAATTTTAAGTAATTTTATAATCCCAGCCATGCATGTATGTGTGTCGTTACCTGTACTGAGAAAGCCCCAATACACACTCTTACCTCTTAGGTTTACATTTGAAAAAATTGAGATGGAACTAACTGTAGTTTGTGTGATCAATCCAATAGCTACAAATATACAAGCTTTGATATAATATGTCAACCAAATAAATTATAACCTCAAAAAATGTGTAGCATAAGTTTTAGAGGTGCACTAAAGCCACTAATGCATTGTCATCTAATTAATAAAGTAATAAACATCTTAAAACTCTAAAATTGACTATAAATTTACAATTACATTAACTGCATGTTTGGCGCGTAGAAGTGTAGAACAACACTACGTACTTTTGTGTTGTATTTTTTATAAGACGTACTCCTAAAATTGTAGATGATCAAATTCTTCCAAAATTTAAGTGGACTAACAGTCTAACTTAGCATGCATAAGTGGTGTTAATTGAGGTTGTTAACAAATGTTTTTTTCTTTTCTTATTAATTAACTAATACTTCGGTTAATTTAGTTTGTATTAAATTTGACACTCAACAGTCTCTTAAATTTGTCATTTATCAAATCACCTTATTTTAACGCAAAAAAGTCTCTTCAAACTTTACCATAGATAATAAATTTCATCATAATAATTCCTGATATAACAGATCAATATCAAGGAATGTCAAATAGGAGAATGTCAATTATAAAAAGAAAAAGAATAGTATTACTAAGTACAAGAATCAAAGTCAAGCAAATATTTAATCATATTAATCAACCAATTAGGCTTCTAAATACGAATTAGTCGTAAAAATAATAATGTAATTTGTCTCTTTCGTTCATTGCTAAGAAATAGCAGCAAATCAAGGACAAATAAAGAGCAACGGCGATTGATCAACTTTGGTAGCGCCACTAAATAAATTGGTTGTTTGTTTGCACGTCCATGCTTTTAACAGCCAAGCAATTGGTATTGGTACAATTATCAAACACATACAAATATGAAATATCAATTGAGCTGGCTTAGCCAACATACAGTATCTTATGTGTTAACATTCATGTCGCATATCTTGCGGATCTATTACCTACTTAATTTTGTCTAGCCAATGTAATATACAAAGTATATAATATAATATAATATCGACACATGTTTTTAGCATCTTTATTTTATGGAGAATATAGTGGGATATTTGAAGATTATATAGTTAATGAGATTTTCTAATGTAGTATTATGTCTCTAGGCACGTAATAACATGTAAGTGATTATTAGTTGGCAAAATAGTTAACCATTTAAATAAAATGAAATTTTCTTCATAAGTAACTAATCTAAAATTATCCCAAAAAAAAAAAAAAAAAACACTTAATCTTAAATTGAAGGAGTATGAAATGTATATTACTTTTGTATTATTTGCTCTCTTTATTTTAAAGAAATTTTCATTTAGTTTGACAGTAAAATTATCTTTTGGTATGTGGTTGCAAATTTGAAAGATCAGCTTGTAAATTTGTCGATCTTGAGAAATCCTGTTACAAACAATGCAAAAACATCTTTACTTAAAAAAAAAAAAATTAATACAAAAAACATCTGAAATTATTTCGAGCAGATTGGGAACAATGTCATTAGTCTAGAGGTGTTTAAGTTGTCATGTTGATCCTTGGGAACCATCACAAGTAAGATCGGCTTATTTAATAATATGTTGTGTCATCCAGCGAAGCCTGGAAGAAGGTGATTCATGTATACAACTAACTCATTTTTAATAAAAACAACGGATTTTTCACGATATATCCCTTAATTTTTTTGTTTATTCACCATAGAAACCTTAACTTTTTTAAATTTATCATATACCCTCAAGTTTTCACAAAAATACACCATATACCCTTGATAACTAATGATTGTTAACTTCATCAATTATTAGGGTTAATTTTGATATGAAACCACCCTAAATACATTCCCCTACCCCTGAAATCATCCATATTCCTTTTTTCCATGCCCAAAACCATCCCAAATTTCTTTTTCTCATCCCCAAAATCAATCATACAGATATGGTTATGGAGATTTGAAGTGGTTTTGGGGTTTGGAGAAAGGAGAGGAGTGGTTTTGGGGTTTGGAGAAAGGAGAGGAGTGGTTTCGAGGATGGGGGGAAGATCTAAGATGGTTTTGATACATAATAAAACCAAATTTCACTCATCTTGTTGTCATTAGGGGTATATGGTGAATTTTTATAATAACTCAGGAGCATATGGTGAATTTAAAAATTTTTAGGTGAATATGGTAAATAAACAAAAAAGTCAGAAGTATATGGTGAAAAAAGCGTAAAAATAAAATAACCAAACCAATCTAACCGGTCGGTCAATTTTAGAGATCTTATCAGCTGGCAAACCCAAGTTGGATGATCACGGTCCCAAACTGGTGGTTTGATAACTATGAATCTATGATTAACAGGCTTGCACAACTCCCTCAAGTTGGTTAGTCCAAATCTTGTTATCATTCTAAAGTCCAACTCCCTCAAAACCAAATGTCAACAACCTTTATTAAAAAAGTTGGACCATTATTTCTTTTTGGGCTCCCTTATACCAAGTAATCCACTTTCTTAATTTCCTACCTTTTTCTTTTTCATCGGAACAAAAACAAAACGAGAGAGAAAAAGAAATATCATCAATGGCGACTGACGTGGCAATGGTTCCCGCAGGGGAGGGTTCGAGCTCTGCTCCTGGTCCTTCTTCTTCATCCAAGAAAACGAAACGTTTCGAGATCAAGAAGTGGAATGCCGTTTCTCTTTGGGCTTGGGGTAATTCTAAACCCCTCTTTTTTACTTCTAATTCTTATAAACCCTAACCCTAATTTTCTGTTTTATATTGGATGATTTGTGCTGTTTTTTTTTATTTGGGCATTTTTTTTGGCAGATATTGTGGTTGATAATTGCGCAATTTGCAGGAATCACATCATGGATCTTTGTGAGTTTTAAAGCTTTTTTTGGGTAATTTTTAGGTTTTTTTTTTTTAGTTCTGGGAAATTAATTAGGGTTTTTTTGATGTTGTGTTTGAATAGGTATTGAATGCCAAGCTAACCAAGCGAGTGCTACCAGTGAAGAGTGTACTGTTGCTTGGGGTACTTTTATCTCTTGAACTCCAATGAATTCCTCCCAATTATTGATGTTTAATATTTGTGATATTATATATTTATATGGTCTATACTGATTTTGCTGGAATTGAGTTAAGCTAGATTTGTTGAATTTAATTTTAGAAATATTGTGAAATTTTGGAATTTGAGTTTGTGGCTGCATACGTGAACGCTTGACATCTACGATTGAGCTTACTTCGTGGATAAGGGTGTGTGTTTACTCTGTTTACATTGCACGATTTTGAAAATATGTGGTATCGAATAGGCAGTGTTTGCTGAAGAAGTATTGCTGTAAAGAATGTATGATGTTGGGAATTGTTTAGTGGAGTTGATTGCTGCTGTTTTAGAATCCTAGATAGCATTGTGAAGTTAGGGCCTTGGGGGGTTGTTTTGACATACTCTGTATCAAGTTTCAGCAAGGATGATCGATTAATTGTGGTTGAGAGTTTGTTAGTTTATACGTAGTGTTGTTTTTAGAATTATTTTGACGAGGAAAAAGTAGATGAATGAATGTAGCTTGGGGATTGCAACTCTGCTCAAGGGTTAACCATTGTGTTTTGTGGGATTTGAATGTCAAAATTAGTGCTGAAGGGAGCTTTTTGGGATAAATGAGGATAATAGTTGCTTTGGGTTTGACGTTGCAAATTTGATTGTGATAAATGTTTCTTGTTGGAAAATGTTGCCATTGGTTAATGTTCTAAGAAGGAAATTTGGTGCTCTAAATGAGTAAAATGACTGTTGGCTGAATAAAAGTGGAAAAAGGCAACAAATTGTCACAAGGGTTTCCTGTTTTAGCTTATCCCTTTGAAATATGTGATCATACGATCCAGTTTCTAAAATTGGAATTGGTTACTTTGGTTGATAGGAGGCTATGATGGTGAGCATGGTAGATTTGATTTCCAAAGATATATGTTGAATTTTGATCTTGCTGTTAAGAGTTATCTGATTTGGAACTTGATTTTTTAATTTATTTTTTATTTTTTATTTTTTTATTTTTTTTATAATTAATTTATAATGAAAGTTACATTTCTATAACTTCAAGAGCTATGCTGTGGAAGGTTGTGGACAAATGTCTTAAAAGGCATGAGAGTATGAGACATTAAGGAAATAGGGGACTTAGAGCCTAGGTGCATGAGGTGATTGAGGTCAGAGGCAAAGGCATGCACAGGCATATATATTGTTGAATGTATTTACTTATAACATGTCACTGATTTTCTGTGACAATGATATATGTATTATAGATAAAGGTCTGGAAAGTTAATGATTCTTTTTCGAGGATTGAAAGGTATATTAGTCTATATGCATTCCTATGGGCCTATCTATAACAGTGTTGCTTACAGTTTGTGGTGAATACAGATTTAGCTATGCGCATTTAGGCATCCATAGAACCTCAATTAGTGTGATTGATATTGTACGTACTAATGGATTTTCAAAGGTCTGCGTTGAGTGTCAACTGCCTAGGATGCCTCTACTGTGCCTTATCAAACTTGCCTTTCCCAGAGCCTCGAAGTCGATCATACTTTTTGCCTTTTTGTGTGGAGCCTTAAGTGCTGTTTTTCATGCGCGTATTTGGTTGCCTTGTGTTGGCTATTGTGATAATGAGGAAATATTTTCTTGACTAAGAGCTTAGACAAGTGGATGGTTTTAAATTATTTGCTGGTTGGTTGATTTGGATGTGTAGTAATGATAAATGATTTAAAAGTTCCCCGGTTACATTGGAGATAATGCTTTTTTTTTTTGGTTGAGAATTATGTTGGTGCTAGAGATAATTCGTGAGTTTTAGAGTTGATATGGATGCATTGTACAAGCTTTTTACTAATGATGCATTCAATAGAGTTTGATTTGTACTGCTCATAAGAAATAGGATACAGTACATGCTACATAGAGTTATTGTTGTTAGTTATGAGTACCTTGGTTTGGTATTGATAAAGCTACCTCTTTTACTTTTGGGTGGGTGTGGGACTGTGGGTGTGGGTGTGGGTGTGGGGTTAAATTGTGCATGTCTGGAAATTTAATACTTGGCTGAAGTGGCTGCAATGTGAACATCTGAACAATTTTTTTTTAAGAAAAAGATCACGTTTGCTCTTACGGTCTTTGCTTTTGCAACAAATATGAACTTTTTTTTTATTGAAGTAGTTGCTTTACTACATTGTTTTGATGGTTGAATGGTTTTCAAAGATGCTCATAAGCTGTCTTCTGAAGCTGGGAAAAAAGATCATTTCTTTTAATATGGTAAAAATTAGAGGATTGAGCCTACTGTTTTGGCAGCTACTTCATAATAAAGTTGTGATTTCTCTGCGCTCTGTAACCACGTAGTGTGGTATCTGAATGTGTAAGCCTGTAGTTGTACCCTTTGCATGGGGTATCAACATGCTATCTCTTTATGATTCTTAAGCACCTTGAGAGTACCATCCTCATTATGATTTTAAAACCCTTTTTTTTTATTTATTTATCTATTTACTTTTTTGTATATTCTTTTTATGTGCTTATGATTTCTGGGTGTTTTGTTTTTCATTTATTTTCACATTGTAAATTTGTAATTTATAGACATGATTGTCCATATTCAAACAATAACATCTTTTCATTATTTGTTTCCCTTGCCAATCCTAAAGTGGAAGGAAAAGAATACATAAAAAAAAAAAAAAAAAGTAAACGAATTTTAAAACTCAAATTTCATAGTACATATCTATTTTTGTGGAGAACTTTGTTTGTTGTAGTTTTATGTATAGTTTAGAAGAAGAGCTTTCATATCTTTCAAGATCCAACCTATAATATGTCTTGAAAAGCGGTGAAAAATTGGTAGAAGGCTGACTCTAGAATAATTCCTCACTGCACATGTATTCCAATATGGCTGCTTGCTCAAATTGAGACTTGAGACAGTTGAGAGTATGGGGCAAAGTGCTTGTTGGGTTGAATACATAAGTACATAGATTGCTATGGCTCTCAGGACAGTTGAGAGTATGGGGCAAAGTGCTTGTTGGGTTGTACATAGATTACATAAGTACAGCATATATCAGCATCTTTGATACTCATAAAGTCATAAATGTTTTAAGCATGATGGCCGCAGTTTGGTGCAAATACACATTTGGGTCATACATGAGTGTAGTTTTTGGTCCATGAAGTCAACAATAATTATCTGAACAACTTGCTTCTCGGTGTTTGAATTGCAGTCTGAAATCTCTCCTGCAGATATTAGTTTTTCTGTTAGATGACTTGATGCTTGAGGTTGATTAAGTTATAGTGATACTCTTGCTATATTCTGTTTTGTTATATTTTATATGAACTCTTGGTTTCTGTGATGTTGTGTTTTTTCCCTGGTGTAGTTCTTTTTTATCCTGGTTGATAATTTGTCATATTATTCAGATGTATCCCAACATTTTGTAACTCCTATCAGTTGTGGCCTATCAATTATCACTTGGCTTAAATTTGGAATTGTTTTGCAGGAGTATGCAATCATGCGTTTCATTTCCACTGCATCAGCCGATGGCTTAAAACCCGTCAAGTTTGTCCTTTAGGTTTGTCTGCATATTCTTTCTGCAATATATTACTTTGTTGTCTATTATTGCTATATTTCCCCTAAGTCTCGTTTGTTATTTGATGTACCAGACAACAGCGAGTGGGAGTTTCAGAAGTATGGCCATTAGCGCTGTTACCATGCTGATTAAAGTCCCGAAAATCTGAGGGTGTGTGCAGATGTGTGGAGCTCTTGATTGTTTTGCTGCTAATCTACAGCTTTCTATATGATGGAACCATTGATTTTTGTCGTATAACATCAAGAATCAACTTACCTGTTTAGGCATTGGCCAAAATATTTCCCTCTTTATGTCAATGTTTAATATAACTAGTGGAAACTATTATGACAATTGTATCAAAATTTGATCGAAACTTCACAGTATGAGCTGTTCCATTGTGTTGGTACAACATATAATACCAGTTTATTTTATGTATCAATAATTTTACTTTGTCAAATGACCTGTTTAATAAGAATGAATAATTAATACGTAGAGACTATTACGGACGGCTGTACGGCGTAGTGGTAGTGAGGAAATTCATTGTACGTCAGTCAGACAGTCAGTATTAAACATGAATGTGGGTTGTAGCCTTGTGCTTGTCCACTGCAGGGACCAGGAGACCTGCCGAAAGAAAAGGAATTATACAACTAATGGTTCTCTTGAAGCATAATTTAGCTTAAAGCAAGGTAACAAGGCGCATTAAGCGTTAAGGATCCTTGAGAAACTTTATATACACCATGATAACAATTCTCACTAATAACAATCCGGTAGTTTGAATGGGAAAAATGGGGGGAGGGGTGTTAGGAGGATGAATTGCGACCAGAAAAAGGATGATCTCCGGTTCAGACGAGGGAGTTGGTAGTGGGAGGGAGTTACAAGAGGGGGAAGGGAAGGTTTCTAGCTTAGTCAAAGAAAGAGATGGCTGGGCAAAGGTTGGGTGTTAGGGGTTCGGGTCTGTAAGAAAGTCTGGGCCTCGAGGGTAGATTGACGAGTATTTATTAACCCAACACAATTAGTCATTAAATTGTCCACGTATAAACTAGAGTTAATCAACGTCGGTCCAGCCTGCAAGCCCGGCTCTAAAATTGGGCAGGTTTGGACAAACCTAAAAACATATTTTTAGTTAAAAACCCGAATATGGCCCGAAAAGACCAAATAGCCCGTTTAGCCCGACAAACCCACTACTTTTGGACGGGTTTGGGTATGCGATATGATAATAAGGCCCGACTCGATTTTTTTTATCACGTCTACTATAAAGGCATTTTTGTGATGTTTTGAGTAATTTTAAAGATTTAAGAGGGTTAATTTAAAAAAAAAAAAAATTAACCGAGAATTATAATGTGCAATTGTGAATAGATTTTAAAATATGTTCATAGATTTGAACTTTGCATTAGCCCTAAGGCAGTTTGGTAATTATGTGAGGGCGAGAAATGGTAAATAATATCAAGTTAGGCCCCGTTCACTTTACCTTACAAAAATAATATTCAGTAAAAATAATTTCAGTTCAGTAAAAATCAGTTTTAATCAGTAAAAATAATTTAAGTTTAGTAAAAATAAATTCTGTAAAATTAATTTCAGTTCAATAAAAATAATTTCAGTTCAGCAAAAATAATTTCAGTTCAGTAAAAATAATTTCAGTTAAGTAAAAATAATTTTAGTCAACAAAAATAATTTCAACAAAATTAATTTAAAATCATGTACATTGATGCTTTTTTTAAGTAAATTATTTTTTCCATATATTGCAAAATATTGTTGTACAAGATTTTTTTTTTAATACTTCACATATATTTTTTATACATCACTTTTGTCTACACTTTTATCACATATTGTATACTTATAAAATATAATATCTTTTTTTTTTGTCAAGTATTAAATATTATGTCTTATTGATAATATTGTAGTCAGTTATATTTGGTAAATACAAGTAGTATACTTTATAAAAGGTTAAGAAAATTCATCGTAATAGGATACCTAATCATTTACAATAAATTCTATAAGATATTGAAATATGATATACATATATAATTATATATACATGATCTATACAATACTACCAATATGTCTATATATGTTTTTTTGCTTAAACATCACATGCCTTGATATGATCAATCAAACTACCAATATTTGTTATAATTATTTGTAAATTCCACGCATTTAACCAACGTATACGTATACAAGAAAAATTGACTGACAATTCAAACCAAAAAATTTAATTAACCAGATTTTTTTCATGCATGTCATAAGTTGTGCTGAAGTCTTTGGGTTTGAGATCGTTAACTCCAACTCGCTGCTTTCGAAACTATTTTAACGATCAACTATTTGTAACAAGGTCTATATATTTTAATAGTCTCATATATATATTTATCATAATAATGTCAGTGTGTTTGACTTTCATTTAATAAATTGTAAAATGTTTAATTTTATGTTCAACAAATGTAATTAATTATTTGCATAAAAAAATGTAATTAATTATTAAACAAAAATAAAAGAGGATTGTTTAAGATATTTATTTTATTTTGAAGTTATTACTAAAATGAGTACATATATATGGCTAGAATATTGTGTGTAAGATTTTTAGATCATGGATAGTATTATATATGGAATTATGGACAATTCTTTGCAAAACTCTTAAATTGTCCATATACATTATCATTTTAGGCCAACCACTTTTATATACGATATTATGTAAATTTATATGGTTGGCATAATATATTATCGTTATATATGCCAACTATATAAATTACAAAAATAGATTATTTTACCATATATATATATATATATATATAATTATTAAATTAGTAGAAATAATATTTAAATCAGTAAAAATAAGTTTACTTCGGTAAAAATAAGTTCAGTTTAGTAAAAATAATTTCAGTTCAGTAAAAATAATTTCAGTGAACGAGACCTTACTCCGTATAAACTGTGTCGAAAGCACTTGTAGCAAATATCCTGTTCACTTCACCTTATTTTTGCTGAACTTAAATTATTTTTACTGAGTTGAAATTATTTAACTGAACTAAAATTATTTTTGTTAAACTTAAATTAATTTTACTGAACTGAAATTAATTTACTGAATTGAAATTATTTTTATTGATTTTCTATTATATTTCTTCTTTAAGTTTATTGATTTTACTGAACTAAAATTATTTTTACTGAACTGAAATTATTTTTACAAAATTGAAATTATTTTTGCTGAACTGAACTTATTTTTATTGAACTGAACTTATTTTTACTGAATATTATTTTTTTAAGGTGAAGTGAACAGGGTCTATTACGGAGTATTATAATCTACTCCGTAGCTTGAAAGAGACGAGTAAACTATCTGATCTCCAAAACATAAATCTATCAAAATCTTTTTGCATATATTTGGATCTGCTACATGAGAAACTTAATGAACAAGATAATCAAACTACATAAAAAAATTTCAAATGATAAAGTAAAAGACTTACTCCCTCCGTCCTACAATACTTGAGACGTTGGGGTGGACACGTAATTTAAGAAAACTATAAATGGGTCCATTTAAAATGTTTGTTTATTATATAAAATATTTTCTTTTGTATTTTTATATTGTAAGAAAAAAACAAGTGGGGTTGAAGTTAGGTAAGTGAGAAGAGAAAAAATGTGGGAATTTTTTTTTTTCTTTTAGTGATCTCATTTTATATTTGGTAATGTATCAAATATTGTAAAACGGACGAAAATGAGAACTATGTCAAGTATTATGGGACGGAAAGAGTATTTAGAGGCATAAAATCAAAAGGTGGCCTGCAATTGCATCATGCAAATTCCAATTTATACGGTAAAATGAGATAAAAGCATCTCCTCTTTATAAAAAACAAATAATATACAAACCAAATTCACATTTTACAATGCATATATGAAGCATGACAACTTTTATTGTTGTTTTTTTCACAAGTTGTGCAACAGAACAATTAACCTCTCTTTTCAATAAAGTACCCCTTCGTGGAGTAGTGATATAGAACTATCACGTATGGGCTTATTGGGCTCATACCGGGGGCAAAAATGTAATTTTGTGCAGTACTTATCATATAGTAAAAAAGTAGTCTCTCTCCTCTTAATAACAATATCTAACACTATAATAACAGTATACAAATCAAGAATATAACAGTATACAAACCAATAATAACAGTATACAAATTAATAATAACTAAACACCGACAAACAACTAACTCGTCAATTTCGACCAACTCAGACAATTTCCAGCATAGAACTCACCATTTTTAATGGCTAGAGCCATAAGTCGACAAGGAACTTGTCTATGTTTGAAGACCATGAACATCAGCTGGAAGTACTCCATAGCATTGCTCACTCTTCTGCTTTTGGGTGGTTTCCGGTGATTTCTAATGGAGGTGGTTGCGTGTTTTTGGGTTTCGACCAAGGGGTGGCTAGTGGGGTGGGTTCCTTGTTGTCGGAGGTGGAGGTGTGGTGGGCGGAGGTTTGGCCGTCAATGGGAGCTATCCATGGAGGTGGGGAAAGGGTTTAAGGGAGGAAGAAGATGAAGAGAAAAGGAAAAAAAGAAAAATTATATTGTGGTATGGACAACTATGAGCCCATATCTGATAGTGGGCTATAGTTACACCTTCTTGAAGTACATTCATTCATTCATTCTTTCTTCTACGAAATTTATTGGACCATTCAAACATTTTACATTGATTTGTGAGACACAACGATTATATCTTTCTCAAAGTTCTCACACTTCATTTAACTGTTCTTTCCCTAGGTGTTCTTCATTTAATAGTTACTCCGATAAAGGCCATATTTACACTCAGTGTACAAAAGCATATTGTAAGCTACCAATATCATTATGACAGCAAAGCATGTCCCACTAAGTAAAGGAGGGAAATTAAAATTTTAGGGGCAATACCTCATGGCAGCGGTAAAATTTCATGTGGTGCCACAATTAGCTTTGGGAACTGTAATTAGGAGAGAGAAAGTTATCTCCTTTTTCTGCCATTAGTTTACCCCAAATTCCTTCATCTTCTTCAATCTCTTCTATCTTGGGTTGTTTTCAAATCGTAAATTTTTTTCGGAAGGACTACTGTTGGAGACAATATCTTTAGTAGTATGTTTTCGGTTAATATGTTTTATGAGAAAATGTTTTCGGAAGGACTACTAATAATTGTTTGATGAGAGTTAAGTGGGTGGTTTTTGTCTGCTTCAAGAGCTGCCCAATTTTCAGCAATAAAAAGGAAAGCAATTTGTGGTGCTTTGGTTGTTGGCAAGGTGGTGCCGGGATTATTATGGATTTTCAATGGAGGAATTGGTGAATTTGACCCACTTATTATGTTTAAGCAAATCAAGTACACAATCCGCCCTTTGATTAATCAATTAATTTTATCAACAATGTTTCTTACAGTATTTGATAGTATCAAAATTTGTAACTCGTTACTATTTCTATTTTAGTGATGCAATTAAAATTCAGGT